TAATATATATTATTTTCTTATTTTTTTTATTTTATTTATTATTTTTTTTTCAAAATTATAATTTTTAATTTATTTTTATTTTCAATTTTAATATTTGAATATATATTTCTATGTTGTTATATAAAAAAAACCTTCCTCTGCCCCACCTAACGATAATATTTATCATCGTTGACACAGAAAGTCTTGAAGCAAATGCGTTTCTTGCCATCCTTTTCGGAGGGATACACGGCGGCAGGTTGAGATCCTGGTACATTGTTGGTAATAATAATGACATCCTTGTTGGCACCGGTGGGCAGGCGAACACTTGATGAGGAACTCGACGAGGCAATGGCACTCGAGGCCAATAAATCCAAATCACGAAGGCCAGCGACATTGGTCTGTGAGTTTTGCTGTTGGCCACCATTATTGGGTGCTGGAGCACTCGGATAGTTTCCATAATTATATGAAGGCCTGGTTGGCAGTGGATATGGTATTACGGGCGGTGGAGGTGGTGGTGGGGGTTTGTAGTAACCATAATTGTTCGAGGGATAATTATTGTTACAGCCATAGTATGGTTTGGGTCTATAGGTTGTGCGACGTGTGGTCCTACGTGTTGTGGTTGTAGTTGCCGGTGTTGTGGTGGTCGTTGTGGTTGTTGTAGTGGTAGTTGGTACCGAAGATGTTTCGTTGTCGGCACCTCCATCTTCTCCACCACCACCATCGCCATCACCGCTGCCATTGTCGCAGGTATTATTTCGGTTACCATAACCTCCTCCATAGCCGCAGTTCCCTCCGCCGTGTCCATAAGAATGATAACCATGCCGATTATTTATGAAATGTTGCATCAAACCCATAAAAGTGTGCAGCAGCTGAGAATCTGGTTGAGGTGGCGGTGGCGGCATCGGTGGTCCAGGATTATATGTATAATCATTGTAATGTTCGTAAATGGGAAAGGCGTAAATCGTAACGAAGAGCATCAATAAAATGCCAAATGTCAGATTCATTTTAAATCTGATGGGGAAAACTTTTGTTTTCTGGTTTTGGTCAGATGATCAAGAAACCTTCTTGAACTGATGCCAATACAAGAAACATCTATGGGTTTTATATGGAAAAGCAAAGTTGATGATTTTTGGAGATTCTTGAATGGTTTCTTTTCTTCTTTCACAAAAATGAATCATCCGAAGAAAAAGTACCAAAAACTAAAAATCATCCAAAAAAAAAAAAAAAAGATTTACGTGCTTCAACAATTTTTTGGGCGATTTTCACAAAAGTCGATAACTTTTCATTTTTAATTGTTTAACACATTTCACGTGCTTTGTTTGTTTAGTATGAACAAAAAAAAAAAATTATTAAAAAGTTAAATGAAAATGTTAACCGTCATGTAACACCAGTTTCGCATTCACTTCATTCATAATATTCTCCATTTCAACGTTTTCTGTTTTTTCCTCGTCTCTGTCTCAATTCGAGGCGAATTTCTTTTCATTCAGTTGTTGGAATTTCTTTGTTAAAAAATGTATTTTTTGTTTGAGAATTTATTTTTTCGCATTACATAATGCGAAGCTGGAGCAAAAAAACCCCAGTGCATTGTTGTTGCCATTTAAGGTTAATAGCTTGAAATTAGCAAATCACATGAGTTAGTTAACTGGGGTGAGGAAATTCTTTGAACAACTTTGCTATTTTGCTTATCAATGCGGATATAGGCCTAAGTTTTGTGATTTTTGGCTGCAGATATTTTGGGGGGAGGAGGTATTGGAGATAATTATTTTTTAAATTTTAAGTAGATAAAATGTATAACATATATATATTACGCTTAAACCTTGAGAACACCAGCATAACTTGACATTGCATAGGCCTATGAAGTGTCAAATTATGCCACAGAAATTTGGGCAGCTTTCTAGGGCCACAATTTTCTTTATTTTTTTCGATGGCTAGTTTGATTTTTTTTTTTTTTTTTTGTAATTATTCCATAGTTGGTAAAAAATCACGGACTTTTTTGGAGAGGGTGGGGTTAATCTCCCTCCTTGAAAAATTGTTGTGGAATTTTAAGCCTCTAAATTTTCTTGGAGAATTTTGAGAACAATAATAGAATCCATAGAATTTTTAGGGAAATTAAAGTCATTTTAATATTTGTCTGGTCTACAACATTTGTAAAGGGTTCTTCAAATAATTCAACTACAATTCAAAATTTCTCATTGGAATCTTTTAGTTTTTAAATTAAAATCTGGATGAAGAATTTAAAAACTAAAAGATTCCAATGGGAAGTTTTGAATTGTAGTTGAATTATTTGAAGAACCCTTTACAAATGTTGTAGACCTAGAGGCCTTGCTGCCTTATCCGTGGCTTCAGGGTTCGATTTTATGAATATCAATCTCTAATGTACTGAGCTCCAAGGTCATAAGCTTATCAGATGAATTGTAAAGCATTAGTGGAATAAAACCAGTTTTTCTCTGTAAATGGACTTAAATGCTCTTAAGTCTTTCATCGAACTTTTTGGAGTTTTAAATCTGATTTATAGATCTTAGAAATCTGAAAATCTACTTTCCAGAAAATTTAAAATGTTCTCCTTTCGTATTATTGGGACTCAGAGGCAATCGAATGTATCCTCGGTAAGGATTTTTTGTTTCCCTTGAGGATTGACTTAAAAAAATGGAAAAGAGAGACCAGCAGAAAGCTAGCTGAGATCATGGATCTTGCAAAGCACATAATCGCTGAGGATTTTATTCTTAGGAGAGTTCATCCTAACAAATTCGAATGTTTGTTTTTTATGTCACAGTCGTCGGGAGATGGCAATACTGTTAACACTCTGGCGAATGTGGGTGCCCAGGTGGCTGTTGATGGTAAAATTGCCACAAATTTGATAAAAAAAGTCTAAGGTGCAAGGGTAGAAAGACGCCAACCACAAAACCGTCCACGGAACTGCCTAAAGATTCAACAACGGAACCTCCGACGGAGCCACCCACAGAACCACGAACGGAACCTCCAACAGATTTCCCACAGAGCCACCCACAGAACCTCCGAAATAATCTCCTACATAGATCCTCCCACTGAGCCACCCACAGAACCTCCTACATAGATCCTTCCACAGAGCCACCCACAGAACCTCCGAAAGAACCTCCTAAATAGATCCTTCCACAAAGCCACCAACAGAACCTCCTACATAGATCCTTCCACAGAGCCACCCACAGAACCTCCGAAAGAACCTCCTAAATAGATCCTTCCACAAAGCCACCAACAGAACCTCCGAAAGAACATAGATCCTCCCACTGAGCCACCCACAGAACCTCCTACATAGATCCTTCCACAGAGCCACCCACAGAACCTCCGAAAGAACCTCCTACATAGATCCTTCCACAGAGCCCCCCACAGAACCTCCGAAAGAACCTCCTACAAAACCTCCCACATAGATCCTCCCACAGACCCACCCACAGAACCTCCGAAAGTACCCCTACAAAGCCTTCCACCAAACCAACGCCATGTCCCCCATATCCAACATACCCATCATTCCCAACCTATCCTACCCTACCAACAAGTAACCGACCTTGTACTTTATCGGCAGCGATATTTGATCACTGGACCTCATATTCGTGGCATAGTCCAAAATTAATGAGACTTATTGCAGACTTTACAAAGACCTTCTTAGGCCAGCCTTGCCTGTCAATTCGAAAAAAGAAACTATGACGTCATCGGCTAGAATTTGTAATAATAAGTTCTGGATTCTGTCTATGAGGATATTTTATGAAGGTTTTTTTCTAACAAAAATCTCCAAATTTCCTCTTAAGGCTATCGTGAGGAGCTTTCTAATAAAACAAATCGTCCTCGATTTTATTACTTAGCAGAGTTTGTCCTAACAAATTCGGATGTTCGTTTTTGAAATATTTTCTCGATTTCGGCTCTTAATTTTATCCACTCGATTCCGCCACAAAAATATTCTGAGAAGTCTTCCATTTTGAGGAGTATTTAAAAACATGATAAAACAACAACCCACCCCTCCCTGATGGTAGTCTGATAAATATATTTCCGAAGCAGGGACTTATGGAGGGGTAGGAGGTACTATGTCCCCTTCGTAATTGTTGCTATTCTAAAATGTTTGACGTTTCCCTGGACTTTTTTTACCATTAGAACCACAAACACCCCCGAAATGGTCTCAAAAAATGTTTCTGGATACGTCTCTGTTCCAGGAATCCATTGCGGAAGAACATTTTTCAAATCTATAATTCGGTTTCTAAGTTTACTTCTGCCAATCTAGCAAAGATTCCTCCCTATAGGTTACCAGTTTTTTCGTTTTTTTATCCAAAATTCTTGTTGGGGGGATGTTTCTGAAAATGCCTTGAAACTCTAAAATTTGAGAATTTGTCAAAGGTCTTCAGAAAAATCTACCAATTTGTCACTGAGGATATCTCAATTTTAAAATAAAATGCAGAAAAACTGCCTCTAAGCCGGTTTTTCGAGAGAAGATTATTACTAAAATTGCGCGACACGGGATGCAAGGATATTTCTGAGGGGGGTTAATTCATAAAACCCAAAATTATCCCCAGAACAAAATTAAATCTGTTTCTTAAAAAATCCCTGGCATTTTGCGGAATATTTTTAAATATTTTTTAAAAATCATGATTGCCTTTCAAAAATATCCAAAATTCGTTTTTGAAAATCTTACATAACTATATAGAGTTCTATATTCATAAGAATAATTTGAAATATGTTTTCCATTTCAACAAGAAGTCCAAACAAAAAAATAATCTCCAGCATGGCGGATTTTTGTTCGAAAGATGTTCTACAATGATAGAAACAAATGTTAATCGGTGAATGAAGCCAAAAGATTTCGCAAATATTTGCCACATAAATCACGTTCTCGGAAGAGAATGAACTCTGCAGCAGATCGAAATGTTTGGCTGGGTAACGAGAATGCATGAATGCGTGCGTGCATATGTGTGTGTGTGGGTAACAACAAAAGACAAATTACAAGCAATGGAGAATTTATAAAAGTCTGACTATAGAACTGAAAACCGATCAGTTCATGGGCATCGAGGCAAGAGCCGTGACATTATTCCCCCAGAAATTCACTTCAACGCGAGAGAGAAGAGAGAGAATGAACTCAAAATAATAATGTTAGAATTGAATTTTAAACTATTTTTGCTGCTGCTAATCTGGACTCCTGGCTGGATTAAATGTTCGCCAGCTGCCCTTCCCCAGGTAAAGGATTTGATAAGTGATCCACAGACGATTAATCGGGGTTTGTCGGGGCCGGCCATCAGTAATACGGCTGAAAACAATCAATTTGGTAAGCGAGAGAGAGAGAGAGAAGGAGAGGGTTTCATTGTTAAAAGAATTTGTTTATTTTCCACAGAGAATCGGGCCACCGTTTTAACGGGTCAAGGTTTGGAGGATGGCAGGTTTTTGGATGTACCAATTTTGCCCAATGTACCCATTGCACTCTTGGCAAGTAACAACGAGTTTAGTCCCTTGCCTGGCGGCATTAGCAATCAGGCTTTGAATAATCAACAAGGTAAGAGAGGATTTCCATAAATTTGCTCTTCATTGTTAAACGGCTGCTCTTCTCTCTTCGCTCAGTTGATCAATTTTCAAGTTTGACTGGCCAGGGTCTGACGGACAGTGATTTTGCTCAAGTGCCCGTGGTGGCCAGTGCTCCAGTCATTTTGCTGTCTCAAAATAAACAGCAAACCACAGGAGCGGGTGGCATTGAAAATGCCGTCAAAAGCAATCAGAAGGGTAGGGATGCAGGAAGGAGGACCTTTTCTTATTCTAATTGTGTTTTATTGCATTTTAGTTGATCAATCCTCCAATTTGCAAGGCCAAGGCCTCACGGACAACAATTTTGCCCAAGTACCCGTGTTGGCACGAGCTCCCATCACTGTGCTGGCCCAAAATGAACAGTTGGCTGCAGGACCAGGTGGCATTAAAAATGTCATTCAAAACAGAGAAGAAGGTAATATTTTTGGGATAAAACTAGGAAGGTTTTCAATAAATAATGGTATCCTGGGATTTACAGTGGATCAAAGCTCTAATGTCCAAGGAACTGGAAACTCAGACAACGATGGTGTGCAGCTGCCTGTTCAGGCTTTGGTGCCTGCTAAAGTTTTAGCTAAAAACACCCAAGTGGTGACAGGAGGCGGTCCCAATGGCAACATTGTCAACCAAAATGCCGATGAGCAAATTTGTAAGTCAAAACATTTTCGGGGGGAGATTTGAAAGGATTTTGAATTTTTATCTCAAATCTCTTATGTAGTCAATCAAGCCTCCAGCCTAACAGGACAGGGCAACTCTGGGTTTGATTTGGCCCAATTGCCCGTAGGAGTTTTAGTGGCGCCCGATGTTTTGACCAGCAATACCCAAACAATTACAGGCAGTGAGGGTGGAGAAATCCTAAACGAAGATCTGAAGGTGCAAAAAGGTAAAACACAAACAGAGATTTTTTTGGATTTTGATTTCAAAATTATTTTTTTTTTAAATCTTCCAGTTGACCAAAGCAGCAAACTAACTGGCACCGGCAACACGGATGTGGATCTAGTCAAGGGTTCGGTATTGGCAAATGTTGTACCCGCAGTTTTGACCCAGAACACACAGACCATTACAGGGAGCGGTAATGGTTCGGGGGGTATTACCAATACGGTGGTCAAGGCCCAGGATGGTAAGTCATGAATAAAGGACTCAAATAGCGGAATTAAATTCCCTTTCTCCCCAGTTGATTTAAGTGACACATTTGAGGGAGATGACAATACCAAGGTCAATCTGCTGAAAGCTGCCCCCGGAATTCTGGCACCTTTGGGCATTCTGACACAAAGTCAACAGGTGGCGCCCGATGGTACCATCGAGGATGTTAGAATTAATTCGCAGAAAGGTAAGTTTCGCCGATTTGCACAAATGGAGAGTTTTTCGATTTCAATATTTTTTTAACTTGAATTTTAGTCAATACCGACACCAATGTCCAGGGTGATGGCAATAAAAAATTCGAAGTTGGTAGTCTGACACCCCAGCTGTTGTTGGTTGGTGGCATATTGGGTTCCAAGGAGCAAAGTACCGGTGGCTCCCAGGGTGGCATTATCAATAAACTGCTCAACAAACAGGAAAGTAAGTTTTGAGATTATGGAGCTGGAGAATTGAAACTTATTTCTTTATCCCCAAGGTTCCGGAAGAGTTGCCATCAATGGCAGTAACAATGACTTGACCCAACTGCTGATACTTGATCCTCAAATTGGTTTGGATTTGGGTTTAATTAACAACGAAGATCAAGCCACAGGCGGTGGAGGATCCGCCAGTAATACTGATCTGTTGGAGCAAAAATGTAAGGATATTTTAGATGGCATTTAAAGATGTGTCCTTTAAACATTATTTAAATCTTTTGCAGCTGATAACTCTGTTTTGATAACCGGTGATGGCAATACCCTGAATCGTGGTGCCGTCATAACACCCCAGGCTGCTGTCAAGTTACGTATTTTGGAAATTGGCAAACAGGTAACGGGTTTGTTGACTGGCGAGGAGTTGACCGATGAGGAGTGTGCCGCCGAAGATAAAGTGGGCATAATTCAGGAACGTAAGTGCAGATTGAATTTTATATGAAGATGTTTGAAATTTCTATTACAAACTTATTTACAGAGCGCAATGATGTCACAGCCGTGGGAGATGGCAATACTGTTAACACTCTGGCGAATGTGGGTGCCCAGGTGGCTGTGGATGGTAAAATTGCCACAAATTTGATAAAAAGTTTAAGGTGCAAGGGTAGAAAGCCCCCAACCACACAACCGCCCACGGAACCGCCTACAGATTCAACCACGGAACCTCCAACGGAGCCACCAACGGAACCTCCGACAGAGCCTCCAACGGAGCCACCCACAGAACCACCAACCACAACAGAACCTCCTACCGAGCCACCAACCGAACCTCCCACAGAACCTCCTACAAAGCCTCCCACCAAACCACCCACTAAACCCACACCATGTCCCCCATATCCCACGTATCCACCATTCCCAACCTATCCTACCCCACCAACATATCCAACACCTCCTCCCTATCCAACGCCACCCACATATCCTCCATTCCCCACACTGCCACCGTATCCACCATATCCCACACCGCCGCCCTATCCCACTCCCCCACCTTATCCCACACCACCCAGCTATCCAACACCACCCACCTACCCAACACCACCTACCTACCCCACTCCACCCAGCTATCCCACCCCACCCAGCTATCCCACCCCACCCAGCTATCCCACCCCACCGCCATATCCTCCCTTCCCAACCTATCCTCCGTATCCACCATTCCCAACTTTCCCACCACTACCCACATTCCCACCCTTCCCTCCATACCCTACACTGCCACCACACCCTCCAGTGGAACCACCAAAACGACGTTGCTATCGCAAATATTGCCGCAAATGGAAGAAAACTGTTTATCGTTGTACCAACCACTATTAAGAAATGTCAGGGATGGAAATTCAAATGACATTTTCGAGTTTAGTTTTGAAATCGGAATTATGAATGGCTTAAATAAAAAAATATAGAATCAATACTCGATTTTTTTGGGAGAAAATTTATGTTGGAGATTTTATTGGGAATTTATTTTGGGAAAAGGAAAATTAAAAAAAAATCGTATTTAATTTTTTGAAAATATTTGAATATTTTCAAAATTTGAAGTGAATGTAGTTTTCAATTAAATAGCTGTAGTAGACCACCACCAACAACAATCCTTCATTAAAATGCTCAATGTCAAAATAGATATAAAAAACAAATAGAATTTTCAGCTCACGTAGACGCTTTGTCTAAACACTTTCGCCTTTACCACCTCCCTCCCCGCAACCCTCTAGCCACAATTTGTTTATGTAAATCTAATAAAAATGTTTGTAAAAAAATATAATTGGCTTTACATCTCGTTAAATCTCTTAGTTATTGTCTTGGATTCCCTTTGATATTATAATATGCCCCCCTGCCTGGTCGGCTGACGGGAAGGTGTGAATGGCCATAGAGTTACGCTGAAATGAAAACGAAACCGTGTGGAAAGCCAATGCCGGATGAGAGCCATAAGAATGATACCTTAAGTTTTGTAGATGATAATTTGTGTTTTGGGATGTGGTTGGGCGGATGGGAGGTGGGATGGTCTGTCTGTTGGTTGGTCGTTCGGTCGGTCTATGAACATTGTTTATTCGATAAAAAGCCATAAAAACATCATCAACCACCAAAATGGAAATGGGCCAAGAAGTATCGGGGGAGGAGAGAAATACTAGCCATGACCCAGGATGCCAACGGAACGTGGCATATGAAATGTGAGAAAAATAGGTGTTAATAAGCAAAACAACTTTAAGGTTAAACTCTGGGTTAAAGGACAAAATTTAAAGGTGAGCCTGATAAGATCTGCATACAGGATACAGGTTAAAAAGATAGAACGTGAAATGTTTCAAAAAAAAAAAAAAAAATTGGTACTTTAAATTGAACAAAAACCATTGTCCTTTTATTATGCCCTGAGCATGACTAAGCCCTGAGGACAAAGGCAAATAAACAACATTTTCTGTTAACTGGAGGGTAGATGCTTCATATTTTTGTATTAATTTTTTCATGCTGTTCAAAAGTTGTTCTCGTCCCATGGCCATGCTGGAAATGCCCCATCTTGGCTAATGTACCATAAAAGATTTATGAACTGTAATTATAAATTAGCGCGAAAACATTCTCCCGACAACGAAAAGCGTCAAACTTTTCACTTCAAACCACAGGGGAAGATTTTATAATTCCACCTCAGTTCGTGGACGCACAAACACAGACACAAAATGATGATGACCTGTCTGCTGGAAAATAAAACCCAAGTACAAGGTAAAAGTTCATTTTTAAAGATGCCATAATCATAACTTTATTAGAATTTCAGTATTAAAATTGCATAATAAAGCGGGACGAAACGACCATAAATGTGTTATATAAGTTTTAAAGCTGATGTTTTTTTTTTTTTTTTTTTTTGAGGGCATTTGTCATTCAGGAGGCGAAATAAAACACCAAAGTAATGATAAAGTGGTTGTGTAAAATGAAAATAAAAATTTTAGTTATGCGGAGAAAACATGGCGAACATTTATGGGGATATAACAAATTTAAGTTTGAAACAGGTGTGGGGAATTGTTGTGTAAATATTTAAGTTCTTAGTTTGGGAATTGTCAAACAAATATTAATTTTACAATAAAATGAAAAATATTCTCATCCCAAAAATAGGCAATAGTTTTCTATATTTATTTCTCTGAATCCCTGGAAAAGTTATATAAAATTATATATATTATTTACGTACTTTTTCAATGGCAAGACTGCTACAAGAGAAATATTTCATTGGCTCTGAGAGAACTGCTGTTCCCAGAAAGTACGGGAAAAGGAAAACTAATAAAAAACTATAAAATTAGATGACAATATTTCAAAATCTGCATTTCAATCGGTCAGAAGCTGGTAATCACGCTATTGCTTTTTTACTCGAATTAGCCTAGTAATAAGTAGTAAAAAGAGATCATCAAATTTTTTTGTTGCCTGTTTATTTTGCCGGTAAGTTTTACAAGGGTTTCGTGTGCGATAATGGATTTCATGTATCATGTAAATAACTAGTACAATATAGTACTGTATTTCAGCTTCTGGAACATAATAACAATTGTACCTAAAAATATGCAACATATTTTGAAATTAAGAAAATCAACAGCGACTGGTAAGAAAAGCAAAACAAAGAGATAATGAAGTACGAACAAACAGCTATGCTACCTCACAACACATATTTTTATAAAAAAAATATCAAATCAGTTTTTTCTAGAAAAAATGTAGGCTAAATATTTTTATATATATATTTTGATCCCTGAAAGTATGCAATAATTTTAATAGACATTCAAGACCTTTCAAAAAGTATTAAAGACAAATTAAATAATAAAAATATTTTCACCCTCTTTTTTGTGAAAAATTTAATGCCTAAAAGTATGCAACATATTTTTAAATAAAAAATAACTATGCAATGAATTGATAAACTGCTTAAATGAAAAAGGCTATGTCAAGTATGTTCTAAAATAACAATATAATTTAAAGAATAATAATATATGAATTCCTATATTTATGAAGTATACAAAGCCTACAAGTATGCAATACATTTTTTAAAATTTATACTAAATTGGGCTCTAAGTAAGGGAAGGAAAGCGAATATTTTGATAAGAATGTCAAACAACACCCTTATTTTTTTTTGGTAAAATATAAGTCCTAAAAGTATGCAATACATTGTTTAAATTAGAAAATTTAGAGTACGCAATGAATTGAATAAACCACGGTAAATGAAAAATAGACGCCGAATCGGTTGTAGAAATACTAAAAATAATTTTAATAGTAACAATTTATGAATCCCAATATCTTCTAAAAGACTTAATTCCTAAAAATATGCAATACATTTTTTAAATTTATAATAAATTGAGCCCTACATAAGGGGAGGAAAACCAACAATTTCAAACAACTTATACAGATACTTAAGACATCGTTCAATGTAAGCTGTCTAGTTTGATAAAGGAAGTTATTCTTAAAAAAATATATGACGTTAGGGACAGAGGTCCAATTACTTTAAAATAAAACTCGATGTAAAATTTGACAGGGTCTTGCGGCAGTCATTGCAGAAGTAATGGAATAAAATGAAAATCTCCGAAATTCTTTGCAACTCTTAAATCCTCCCGCCTTCATTATTTTAAAATGAGACGATTCTCCAGATAATTCTTTTAAATAAAAGTGTATGGTATGGGGAGTGAAAAGAAACTAGCATAGAGACGAAAAAATGGGGACAGATTCCCCGTACATTATCGAAATGATATTACCAGGAATTACATGGGAAATGTCGAAGAAGAAGAACATGAGGTCCTTTTGGCCTTATTCCAAAAAAAAAAAAAAAAAAACAAACTATACTTAGTTTAAAGTACCCTGAGTTTCAACATGCATGTCAAATTTGCCTCCCGTTACTTGCTACTAAGGTCCTTTCTTTATAAATTATTATATTACCTTCTTAAGTGTTAATAAATTCCATACCGAAAATGTTCAATACAGGTCAATAATATGGTAGGATCCCCATATGGCGGTACATCTCAAATTGATGTTTATAAACTCATGTGGAATTATTCTAGCCCTCTAAACGAAATTGCCAACACATTTGATTCGTTCCATCCCTAAAATATGCAATATTTACTTTATAGTTTCTATTTCCCAAAAGTATGCTATGATTTTTACACAAATATTACACAAACTATTTATTATTAATATTTTTTGAGAATTACAAATATTTTTGAAAAAAATATCTTTAAAACTTCACAGCTGCGAAACTGCGAAGCTTAGTATGGCAACTCTTCATATTCCAGTGGCTGCACCAAAAATAGCAACATGTTTTATCATTTAAAATTCAATAGCATACATGTCGGGAAGAAACCCCATAATATGGCCCATAAAAATGGGAGACACACATAACATTCTAAATTGAGGGTTATACATCCGTACAAAAGGCGAATTTTTGATTTTTGGATACGGTTGGGGGATGATAAAAAATCCAAAAAAAAAAAGAAAAAACTCCTGCCCACATTAAGATGCGTGTCATACACGGAGAGATGGCAGGAACAAACATAAGCACATACATGATGCAATGTATTTTTTATGAAAATTATGATACGTGCTTTTATTTTCTATTACACGCCTTCGATGGATGTGTGGCATCCTGCCCTGTCCTCCGGGGAGGGTGAGGTCACCAATTTACAGGTTACAGGTTTCAATTGTGGTGTTTCCTTTCGTTTACAAAGCCTGTTATTATCAGATACTTTCTTGTGCGTTTTTTCTTATTTTTGATGTGTTCTGTGGGGGTGGTATTATAACTGCCATTTGAGGAAGCTGGAAGTTGGATACGGGTACCTTGTGTTTGAGTTTATTTTCGGTTATTTGCTGTTGGCCTCATTTTTTATTAATACCCCCTCTGTGATTCCCTGCATCTGGGTGGATGTGTGTGTGTGTGTAGTTTTGTTTCTTCCATTTTATTCCTTTTGTGCTCCTCTATTTTGTAATGATAATTTACCATAAAAACCACAAATGTTAAATAAATGCAGTGTAAATGTAGAGACCAGTATGGCTACAAAACAAAGGGAAAATGAGAAACCAAAAAAAAAAAAAGAAAAAAAGAAAATTCTAAAGCCACATAGATATATTCACATAAAATGGACCACAGGGTGTTGTTAATGGTGTTAAGGGAGTCATTTAATATAACTTACATTTCATGCAACATATGTACGTATGTATCTCGGCAGCCATGTAGGTGTGTTTGGAAATAATAAAATTTGCTGCATCAAAAAGGGAATATCATATCAGACAGGCTTATAAAATTGTTTATAAATGCGTAGAAAATAAAACAAGCTTGATGTAATCCCCTGGGTAGGGGGAGAGGGAAAGCTTATTTAAAAATTTATTAAAAATTACATTATAAATTTAGATTTTATCAACGTGGTTGTAGTAGAATAAAAATGGCAAGCAAATGCATAATGCATGCTTTAATAATTTATAAAGCCTGAA